TCCAAAGCCAGAGGAACCGAAGGCAAAGTGAAAGATGATCACGAAAGCACCTGAACCAGATGTTCATGGATTTCCGATTCCAGGCACTGCAGGGGCACCGGTATGCTCAGGCCGCAGCTGCCCAGACGAAACAGAAGGAGGAGTCCTTCCCAAAAGCAGTCATGGCTCTGTGCACGAAACTTTTAAAGACAAACTGGCAAAGTTGTGCAGTGAACTCGACTCTTCTTTTTGCCGCCGCACCCCGGAGATCAAGCTGTTGCAGTGGGCCCGCCATTTAGAGGGCACCCCAGGAGACGGAGGCATGAAAATCAGGCGGAATGGCCAGGTAGATCAGGCTGACACATGTAGGGTTTAGATAGGGTTTAGAATTTAGGGTTTGGCCTACCCGGACTTGCCGCCTTTTTTGGGCTCAGGCCCCTTAGCCTTGCCGGCCTTGCCCTTTCCCTTCGGAGGGTCAGTCGCTGGCGGAGGCGGTGGTGGTGGTGGAGGAGGAGGAGGCCCATTGCCAGGAGCTGAGAGGTCATAGATGTCAGGCACCTCAGTGAGATGACGTTCAATGTCAATGACGGAAAACACGAAATGTAGCATAATGACGAAATGGAGCAAGAGTGGATGCAGTCCAAGGCTCGTGGAGGCCTGCCGTCCTCATTGCATTGTGGAATGCCGCAGGGCTGTTGAGAGCCCACCATCTCAGGTAGGCCCTCTGGTGTATCACCCTGTGTATCAACACCTGGCCCAGATGTGCGCTGCGACAAATTCAAAAACAACAGAATGCCAGGTGCAGACTCCCGCCTGCTTCAGGGTCTCCTTGTGGTCGGCATTCTCAGGCACCGGACAGTTGAACGTCCCCTCCGTGAAGCGGTCCGGTGCTCCCTGCCGACACATTGATGAACTGGCTTCTCAGGCACAGGGTTTAATAAGGTCACGAAGCCCGGCCTTCACCGAGTCTCGAAGAAAGACCAGGACCGAGGCACGCGAGACGTACATCGACAGCAGCTCCTTGCTGTCCGACAGACGCTCGAACTCACACATGCCACGAAAACTCAGAGGAGTTAAATCAGCCAAGAAGCCTCAAAGGACATGCCACAATATCTTCTGGACTCAGGATCAGTCAACAAATGCTTCTTTTCATCCTTTTCCTTTTTCTCCTTTTTTTTCTTCTTGTCTTTCTTGTCCTTTTTGGACTTCTTCTTATCTTTCTTTTTCTTATCCTTCTTCTTCTTTTCCTTCTTCTCTTCTCCTTTCCCCTTCCCCCTCCCCTTCCGGCCCTTCTTGCCCTTGCCGTGCCCTTTCTCAGGCGTCAAAGGCCTCTTCAGGTTCCTCACGGCTTCCTCAGCCTTGCGGCGGTGCAAAGCCCACTCCTCAGCCGCTTCCTTCTTTTCCTGGTTCTTCTTTTCCTCCACCTCCTCGGCCTTCTTGTCGTCCTTCTTTTCCTTTTTCTTCTTTTCATCCGCCTCCTCAGCCTTCTTGTCATCCTTTTTTTCCTTTTTCTTCTTGTCATCCGCCTCCTCAGCCTTCTTGTCGTCCTTTTTTTCCTTTTTCTTCTGTTGAGCCGCCTCCTCGACCTTCTTGTCATCCTTCTTTTCCTTTTTCTTAGCCGCCTCCTCAGCCTTCTTGTCATCCTTCTTTTCCTTTGCCTTCTTTTCATCCTCCGCCTTTGGAGGCTTCTTCTCGTCCTCCTTCTTCTCCACCTTCTTGTCAGGCAGCTTCGCCTCCTTCTTGTCGTCCTTCTTTTCAGACTTCTTCTCGTCTTTCTTGTCCTCCTTCTTCTCAGCCTCCCTCAGGCTGCTCCCAGCAGCAGGTACCAACCTCAGGTGGTCATTGCTGCTCCCGGCAGCTTCTCGGGCCAGCCTTTCGCGGTTTTGCCGACGCTTTCGAACGTTCGGCTTCTTTCGCTGCTGCCTGCCAGGACACATCATTCAATTGTCAACGACACGACGGCTAACACTCAGGCCTCAGCTCAGGCTGCTCCTGAACGTCATTGTCAGACGAGGAGGTTGAAGACGAGGATGACGTTGTCGATGACGAAGAAGAGGAGCCCGAAGACGATGTCATGGCTTCGGCGGAGGCTCCAAGCTGGGAGCGGGGTGCTAAGTCGGCCAATTACAGACCCGGTTTTGGGCTCCAAAGGTGGGATCTGTCCCGGTGTACTACCGAAGGAATGCTGCAGTGTAAGTCTGTGTAAGTTTCAGGCAGATGTCTGTCCACATGTGACACATGTGATGGGAAGCTCCATCCAAGGAGTTTCCTTTAAGTTAGGATCCGCAGTCGCTGATTTTTTTTGACGATTGAAGAAGTGACTGCACCTAAGTCATCTACCGGAAATGCTAAATCATGAACTCATGACGAGTCTGAGAAGAAAGAAGCAGCATGCACGGCCGATGCTCAAGCCACGCTTCATCCATGCCAACCATGTTCACATCTCAATGGCACGGAGCACACGGTCCTCAGACGAGGAAGTCGAAGAGGATGCCGCAGGCTCCAGCCTCGACAAATCGTGCCGACAAACCAAACGGACTGCAACAATAAACACTAAGTGCATGCAGGAACATGAGAAGCACCGGGCACCGCACGTCGTCATCCAAAGTCAAACCTCCGTCGCATGGGGGGGGAACTTAAAAGGCGAACCAAGACCAGTCTCCTGAAGAGCACCGGGCGCCCCGCATCCAAATATTGCCGCAACTCATCGTCGTCGTCCATTGCCATGGTCGGGCCTCAATCAAATAACAGTGTGGCCAGCCCAAGTGCATCAGACACAGGACCAAGCACCTCGCATCATGAAACCTGGATGTTGCCTTAGAGCGGGTCTCATGGTGCTTCCTCGTATTTTAGACCGGGCTAGGGAACACCATGACATGTTGCAATCTGAAGCAGAAACGGGCACCTGGCATCATCAACCGACGAACCCAGAGCTGAGATCAGGCCTTAGACAACAGTGCAAAGTCTAAGGGCTTGCGAATCAGAATCTGGGCACCTCACCTCGTCATCAGATGCCCAACGCCAGGCCTCAGTCCAGCGACACTGTGAGGCAGACCCAGGCGAAGCCCCCGGGCACCTCGCAACATCAGCCAAGGTCAGGCCTCAGACACACAACGAGACAGTCAATCAGGATGCAATGCTGTGGTGCGGTACCGTGCCAGGAACCAGGCACCCCTCGTCAGCCAGCATTGTCCAAGTCAGACCTAAGCCAGTGACACAACAGTCAGAAAGAACATGCGAAGTAACGGGTGCCGGGCATCATCAGTTTTACGAATGGTCAGACCTGAGTGAAATGGCCATACAGTTTTCAAATTTAAGCTGGAAACGGACTTCACTGCGAAACCTGCCTGGCCAGGCGCCACGACGGTCAGGCGGTGATGGTCAGGCCTCAGACGCACCAAGTTAAACCACCCTCCTAGACCCCAGGCCCAAACCAAACCCCAAAGGCTCGAAGGCCACCCCGAACCCGAATCAATACCGCAACACCCTGAAACTTAGGGGGGTGAATCTGGGGTCACAATCCCAAATCCGAATGGGGGGGTTTCTGGGGCCTCACCCTGAAAAAAACCCAGCCGGACGGCACACCACAATGGGCCAGTCCAGGCATCGGCCGAGCTGACCGAAACGCTCGGGCCAATCATGCCGGCTGTGAAGATTTTGATCGGCATCGGAGCCCGGCTCACGAAGAACCGGCACCGTGCCTGACCAAAACTCCAAAGCTCAGGCGAGGCCTCAGAGCTTTCGGTCGGCATCGGAGCCCGGCTCACGGAGAACCGGCACCAAGCCTGACCGAAGGTCGGCATGGGAGCCTGGCTCACGAAGAGCCGGCACCCGCCTGACCGGGAGCGCAATGGAGCCAGGCTCACGAAGAGCCGGCACCAAAGGCTCGCAGCGCAGTCGGCTGGTGCCCGGCTCACGAAGAACCGGCACCGCCAGACTGAGGGGGCAACGGAGCCTGGCTCACGAAGAACCGGCACCGAAGACCCCCTGCAGCTCAATCGGCTGGTGCCCGGCTCACGAAGAACCGGCACCGCCTGACTGAGCTGCCAACAACTCAAGCACAAGTCATGCGGGGTTAGGGAGGGAAACCAACCGGGTCTTAGGGTCCTACCTAAAACTAAAAAACCCTCAGGCAGCGGCCGGCCCATGTCGTTGAAGAAGACGATGAAGTCGCGGGCAGGATTTAAGGGTTTGGGTTTAGGGCTTAGGGTTTTAGGGTTTAGGGTTTTAGGGTGTTGGGGATTAGTGTGGTGGCATTCAGCTGTTAGCCTCTCGGGTCTAGTGTCATTGGGTTCAAATTATTAGGGTCGAGGTTACGGTTTTAGGCTTTAGGGTGGGTGGACTACGAAGCTTGAAGGCCTATGGCACTGGTGATGGGAGTCTGTAGTTAGTAGGGATCTGGGACGATAGGGTTTAAGGTGGTGCCATGGTTGAGGGTGATGGGCTTCAGCTTTCCAGGGTTTAGGTGTCTGAAGGTGTAAGGATATACATTTTGGGTTTAGGGAGGAGGGGTAAAGTTCAAGGCTTGTTGTGACGTCGTCAGACTACGTTCGAGCACTACAGCTATGCGGCCTATTTCAAACCCATACACCCCCATTTAAAAACCCAAAACAAGACCTTGAGAATCACCTCTACTAGTTTCCCATCCCCTTCTTTACCTCTCTAACCCCCCCAGCAACCCTCTCTTATTGCTATCCTAGGCATCATACAACCCATTCCCGGCAAAAGTTGAAAAGTTTGTTTTACAGCCACTAAGTATTGGGTAAGGAATATACCTTAAGTCATAGGGCTACTGGTATAGTTTAACGGATATTCCTTAATCCAGGGGTTTTGGAGTCTCTGGGTGTAGGGTTCTGGTCGGCTGCAGGCTTGTTCAGGATTCAGGGTTGCGGGTTTCAGGGTTACGGGTTTCGGGCTTCACGTGTAGGGCTCAGGGCTTTAGGATTTGTTCACTTATGGGCTAAGGTTTAGAGCTAGCTTACGGAATCCCCAGCTTTCAAACTTCGTCTGGGACTTTTTCCTCACTCGCCGATGCCCACTTGTCGGGCGATGGGCTCTGAAGGAAGTGTCCAGCTGGCTTCCGCCTGGCGGGAGGGCATGCAACAGTCCCTGAACAGTCAACCTCGCAAACCCTCGCAAAAGTAAATGGGAGCTTCCAAACATTAGGGGTACCTATTTCGGGGTCCTTATCATAAGGATCCTACTATTTAGGGTACCAAATTAGGGTCCCCTATTTTCGGTAACTCCCAAACCTCTGGCTTGGCTGGAACAGGTCCCCTCTGCATGAAGTCTGTGCGCCCGAAACCCTGCTTGGAGGATCGGGGGACTTAGTAAGTAAGGTTATAAGTACCCTAATTGAGGTTCATTGTAAGTGTAGTTACCCTATTTATAACCCTAGTTACTAAGTCCCATGATCCTTTAAGTAAACTAAACCCTAACCCTAAAGCCTAAGGCCTGAGCCTGTATATAGACTGAAATGTCGACAGAACAACTTCCCCTGCCCGACGACATCATCCATGGTGCTGAACTCGCATATATTTTAGCACGAGAGTGGCCTGACTAATCAGAATAAGGCTTTGGGTATATGATGTAGGTATGTGTATATATATATATATATATATGTATGCAGACACTATCGGGAGTAGTGACTAACCAGTGCTGCTATTTTATGAGCTCTCACACCCATTCAGCGCCTCACTCGCCACATGATTGGCAAAATTATCCCCCGAACCCCCAACCCCAAACCCTACACTGAACACTAATTGACCCTAAGCCCCAGCTGAGGCCTTGCAAGCCAATTACGAAACCCTAGAAACCATACACCCTCAAGGCCCTCAAGCTTAACCCCCTGACATCTTGCTGGGCTTAGGGTTGAGGGTTTAGGGCCCGAGCTCCCTATAGTAAACCCCATTAAAGTAAAAAACCGGATTAAGGCCAAATACTGTTGATGATATAAATCCTGCATTACCTTAAGGACCCTAAACTATGGGAATTATGGTATATTCCTTATTATGGGTAATGCAGGATTTATATCATCAACCGTAGTGCTGGGATTGCCCTCTACGTGACTCTTGGGGATCCGAGGTTGCAGGGTTTCCAACTTTTGGGCTTCTACTGTAACTCCCTCAGAAGTTTACGGAGCTTGGGGTATCGTAGTTTAGGAATCCTCCGAAAAGTCCTGGGCTTAGGCTTTAGGAGTTTTGGGGTTTAGGGGTTCAGGAGCTTAGGAATTCAGGATGGCTGTAGCACTTGTAACTCGTGAAAGCCAAATGGTAGACACTTGGGTTTCACCACCATGACCAAAAAGCCCACTACCTTAGAGGACAACTAAACCCTATATCCTAATGTAGGAACCTGATTAGGAAACCTTGGGCCTTTATTCGGGTTCCTTATATGAATCCTACGATTTTGGGGTTATAGGGCCAGGGTTTCTTAATCAGGTTCCTACATTAAGCTCTCGCACCCTGGTGTCTGCCTGTAGAAGGACTTCTTCGAAGCTGTCTAAGGCGATCTGTAGGGTGGTGAAGGCAGCATGGGGCACCTGAACAATGCCGGCATGCAGGCTGCACTTAATCTCCAGGTTCCCCAGTAGCTCGTTAATGATAAGGGTACCCTTTTGCCTACTATTTGGCTGTAAGGCTGAAACCCAGAAAGAAAATGGGCACAAGGGTCCTACTGGGGAACCTAGATCTCGTTCGTTAGGGAAATAGGGTTGGTTGAAAGTTGAAGGCTTCGTCTTTGGCGACGCATGTTGCTGGAAATAAAACTTAAGCATCGGTTGGTGTGGCCTCGGTGAAGCCTCGTATATTCACTGACTTGCTATACCACGCTAATCTAATGGCCCGCTACCCCGCCACAAACCCTCAGCCCAAAACCAAAAATTCCAACCCTGAGACCCAAAACCCAACGTTCTAAACCCGCCTACACCGAATCCCCTCTTACGGGCTGAGTACCCTAATTATCCCCCCCAAAAAGGTTAACTTTTTCAATTATGGTCGGATTATATAAACCCCATTAACCCCAAAAGCTTAACGGTCTAATACTTTTTCAATTATGGTCTTGACAATTTAACGGTTACCTACTCAGCTACAAGGCCCCCCTCCCCCACATCGCAGGGACCTCGCTGCCGCCTGGACCATGTTCTTCGGACTGACCCATCTCCTGACAAAGGACCAGTTTTGTGCTGTACTTAAAGGGATCTACAAGGGTTCCTTAAAGCGTTTTATAATAGATCTATACGGGTTTTGAGTACTTAAAGGATCATAGGACTTAGTAACTAGGGTTTTTAAGTAAGGTAACTATACGTATAATTACATATAACCCCAATTATTAGGGTACTTATAACCTTACTTACTACGTCCCCTGATCCTCCAAGCAGTCTTGTGCTGTTGGGTTTAGAATTTCCACACCCTAGACCTAACCCTAAAACCCAATCCCGAAACCTTACTGCCCAAGCCCCCAATTGCAGCAACTCGCAAGAACTATCCCATTGCCATAGCAATAGCAAGCCAGGTCCATGCTTCAGGCGACAATCTTTGTTTTAGCGTCAATTTAACCAACATCGCAGCACGCGCACAAGATTGACAACCATTTGCACGCAAGGCACTTGCTGATGTTTCTTGGCTTTACACATGCCAGACTGGAAGCTGGGCAATGCGATCCGCGATGCAGCGGGCTCTGCGGTTCGTCTAGGACCAGAAAGCTGCCACCAGCAGCAGCAGCAGCAGCAGCAGCAGCAGCAGGCAGGGTCTGAGGGTTTAGGGCGTAGGGGTCAGCACCAACACCGCCTCCAGCAGCACAAAACTAAGAACTACAACCACAATTGTAAGCACTGCTACCACTACCAAAACGAGTACGATTACGACTGCACCGACGGCTATCACTACAAACTACTGCTAAAACGACGACGCCGATGACAACGGCTACCACTTCCGTGAAACACTGCGCACCTTGGAATGGATGGTAGGACCCGGTAGCAGGTTCCATATCTCCCGGCGAAACCCCTAAACCCTAAAGAAAGCCCTGAAACCTGAACCGGCAGCCTCGGCATCTGCTTCAAGGAGGGTTCGGCGAAATTCTGTAAGCTTGCCAGCCACTTCCTCCAAACGATCTAGGGTTTAGGGTTTAGGATTTCGGTTTACAGTTTAGGGCTAGGGTTAAGTTTAGGGTTTACGGTTTAGGATATGAGACAATGAAACTTTGCTCCGAACGAGGAACGACATGAGGCTTTGCTCCGAGCAAAGCTCCTGGAGATATCTATACCTGTATATACAGAGGTAATTGCATATGTGTGTATGTATATATATATATGTATAAACATATATACATATACAGGGCAGGGAGGGAGACGCAGAGAGAGAGAGAGAGAGAGAGAGAGAGAGAGACACACACACACACTGCGAAATACTTATCCAAGGAAGTCTGAGCATGCCCGGAAACACGACTTCTGCTAACTAGAACAAAAGCCAAGCAAGGCTTCCGGGCTTTGGCTTGAAGTGGCAGTTGGACATTGGCAATTGGCAACTGAGACGAAGCCCGGCTTAGGATTTAGGGTCTGTTCAGGGTTTAGAAGTCATGGTTCAAGAGTAGATGATGATGTCGTTTGGTGGCTGTAGCTACATAGGGTTTGTTGAATCATTGAACCCCCCAACGTCCCACCCTAAACCCTAAACCCTCATCCTCTCCTCTGGCTTGGGCGCAAGGTCTGTCAACGCAGCAGCACGCAGGATCTCCACCGGAGGCTGTCGCCTGGGGTTGGGGATCTTGGAGATCTGTAGGTTTCCTCAACGGGATCTATAGGGTTCCTTAAAAGGATCTGTAGGGTTCCTTAATAGGGATCTATGGGGTTTAGGGTTTAGGGTCAACTTGGAGGGCCAGGGGACTTAGTAAGTCGTTTCTGACTAGGGTTCTAATTGGGGTAACTGCGTTTAGGGTAGGTATAACTCTACCTATAACCTACTTACTAAGTCCCCTGCCCCTCCAAGCAGGGTCTATGGGTCTTGGGCTTCAGCGCTCCAGGTTTGGATCTGGGGTGTATTGTTTTGCGGTTTGTGGTTTAGGACCTGGAGTGCGGCGATTCACAACGGAATGGTGCTGATATTCAGGCGGTGGTAGAAATAGGATCACAAGAGGACGGCCAGGGATTTTAGTAGCAATATTAGAGCTGGTTGTAAAAAGGTGGTCAGCAAAAGTTCACGACTGCAAACAACACAACAGATGATGGCTACAGCTAAACCCCTGAACCCCTGAACCTCTAAACCTCGAAACCCCTTCGCCCCAAAACCCCTCAACCCTAAACCCTAAACCCCAACCCTAAACCCCAAACCCCAAACCCTAAACCCTAAACCTCAAACCATAAACCCTAAAGCCTGGGTCCGGCTCAGGGCTTGGGGCCTGAGGTTCCGGGGATCTCAAAACCTACAGCCATCTACTACAACCTAAGTTAAACCCAAACCCTAAACCCTAAACCGAGTTCTACCGAAAAGTCGCCATCGTAGTTGTTTTTTTGTTCTGGGGTTGCATTACAAAAGATCTTAAGTATGAAGTTGGTCAACACAGAAAGGGAACTCCGATGGAGACTAGAGGTAAGGTCTCTCTAAAGTCTGGAAGGGACCCAACCCACTCTTTCACATCTCCCCTGAAGCCCACCCACCTCGCCGCACAGGACTCCAGGTGTTCGGTGCGGGTCTTCAGCCTCAGTGATTCAGGAGTTTAGTTTAAGGCTTGGGTTTGAGGACTGAAGGTTGCGGCGCTTAGGCTTTTCGGCTGCGGTTCAAGGGCATTTGGCATTTAAGGTTTGGATCTTTTCGTTTGGATCCTCTGGGTCGATGGCTGAAGGCAGCTTTAGTGACGAGGGCTTGATGTATGGGCATGAATTGGTTAAATGGCGGTTGGGGACAACTTTAGCACAGTTGTCTATGGACGACAAGGGCACAGCATCTCAAATTCGTCAGAGCCTTTTTGCTTGCTATTGCTGCTGTCGTGATGACTATCATTATAATTACGAAGATGATTGACACTACTAACAGAGGTTAGTATGACTAGCATGAGAGCTGATCATAATCACTCCTAATTCGCGAGCCATTCTCCGGGCGCAGCTGCCCTTCGAGACGAGCTGAGTTGAATACTGTGCCCTCCTGGGGTCACCTGTCGGACATAGGGTGGCGGCGGATCGCAATTAGTTCGAAGTATCAGATACCTCTTTTTGTGAAGTTGGGCTTGTGGGTAGCGCCCTGACCTGAACCCTTCAAAGTATAATGGCTACAATTAAGTGTATATACTTAGGGGTCCTTATTAAGGGTCCCTCCTTTTCCCCTTTGAGAACCAGCATTAACGTGTAACAGGTGCAGTATCAGTGACATGTACCTTCATCCGGGGTTACGGGGGATCACAATTACCGGAACTAAAGTTTCTGTGACCTCTGGGCCGGCAAACTAAAACTCATCAACCGCCCTCTCGAAAACAAAGGAACTGTATACCAAACCTGCAATGACATAATTAAATGAAACAGCACCCTGCCTTGAGGGCGAAATCATATGAAGGCTTCTGAAATTGGAGGTCCCTTTTCTGGACACCCTTTCACAAAGGACAGCAGTGTTGGCTCGATTGTTGGCGTCCTCCCAAAACCCAGATCCCTAAACCCCAAATCCCTCAACCTCAAAACCTCAAGGCCCTAAGCACTACAGTGTCCAGGGAGCTGGACCAACTCTGCCTCGACTTGTCTTAAGTCAGCGCGGATCTGCTCTACAGGCTGGCTCGTGGCGTGGACAGCCTCAAAGCATCGAGGCGACGAGATATCCATGAGCACAGGTGCTTTGAAGGGAAGTCTAAGGTTTCTTTAAGGGGGTCGTATAAGGGTCCTTTAAACGGAAGTCCAAAGCTTCTCTTTAAGGGTTATGATAAGTTGTAGCCGTGAGTAGCAGCAGCAGCAGTCCAGGGCATTGTTGTTGCAACACTGGACCTACACAATAGCCGAATAGCGATAGCAACACTGCTGGGCAAGGTGTTTGCAACAATGGTCTTACCTGCGCCAGCAGCTCCGTAAAAATACAACCCCGCACACAGTACAAAAAGATGCTCGTAATCCTTGCAATGACTGAAAGACTCTCTTGTGCCAGAGCAGTTTTACAAAGACAAATCACAATAATCAGAGTAGTCCTCTACCGATCCTGTCTCACGGCTTACCCTGAAATCGAAACCCAATCTCTGATAGACTAAGCGACTCATTATACTATGCCTGACTATAGCTACAAATCATGGAAGCCTGAGGAATACTACTCTGACTGTTGAGGCGCCGGTACAGGCACGATGGTGGTCTTCAGCTTCTCAATGGTCTGCCTCCGTCGTCAGTGAGCAGTCGGGCACTGTTCACGAGCATCTAGATCCGGCGCTTAGGCTTTTCGCTTCGCAGTTCAGGGTGCGAGGTTCAGGACTTAGCATTTCCCGTCCGGGCATTGGAAGCATGGATGAGGTCTAAACCCAAAGGCCCTAGACCCATGGACCCCAAAAGCCCTGAGTCTAAACCAGGCTCCCAGCAATTATCAGCACTACAAATGGCGTTTGTTGGGATCTGGAGAATGCTTAGATGGGTAGTGGCTTCCGGAGCGATCGGTTCAAAAGTATAGGGCCATTCATAATTGTTGGGGCTTTACGGTATTTTCAGCTATAATTATCATCGCATAGGGATTAGAAGGTAACTTACCAATCTCCCAATCCCCTATAATCATCATCGCAATGGCGCAGCTAATCATGTCTGCAGCTGTTGAGAAAACATGGCAAAAGCGAAATCGAAACATGCAGCTCATGGCGATCAGAAGCGAAGCGGGTGTCACCAATCTTGACCGTCTGCATATTGTCACGAAAATGTTTCGTTATGTTGAATGAAGCAGTCTGATGACTATTCTTTTGACTGTGCCTGCTGTTGGTCGTGGCCAGGTGTTGCACTCTGACTGATGCACAGCCGTGGCAATCAGTATGGATTCAATGTCGAAGCTTGCTGCCGGTGAACCACTAGTGTCGTGTCCTAACATTCTCAAACGCAGAAGTTCCGTCTGCCACTTGGCAAGCCAATGCCAAACAACAGCGGGTTTGCTTAGCTCGTTGCAGCTAGTTGCTGGACTTATCGACAGTATAAAATTTCGACGTTCTCCGCATCTCGATTCATGGGCTTAGTGTCCGGAGTTTGGGAACGGCCAACCGCCAACCCTACACTCCAGCAACCAGCGGTATATCTCAAGCCCGAGCTACATGTACAAACGAAACCCTCGAACCTCAAGCCTAGACCCTAAACCCTCAACCCTGGACCCAAACTTCGACACTAAACCCACAACGCTCCCCAAACCCTAGATCCTGAGCCCTAAACCCCAAGCCCATCACCCTAAAACCCCAGATCCCCCATGCTGAGCGCTAGAACAATGAAACAAGACACACACCCTCAAACCCTAAAGCCCTCCCACAAAAGGAAAACCCTAAAGCCAACCCCAAAGCCTAGATCTTGAACCCAACACCTTAGATCCCGAACCCTCAATGGAAAGCCGCAAGCAAGAAAGTACTCCTTTCGCTATAGTAGGAACCCTAAAGCGATTTTAGGTACATTCCATAAGTAAGGGTTTTGGAGTCTCTGGGACCATACTATAAACTCCCAACCCTAAATCCTAAACCCTACACCGTAAATCCTAAACCCTAAACCCTGAACCTTAAGCTGGCCTCACCATTTCAAGGCCCGACTTGAAGTTACCAGCGGCTAGCGCCTGCAGGAAGCACCAAACAAGCGGGACTTTCACGGATTCCTACGGTTGATGAAATAAATAAATCCTGGGTTTCCTTTAAAGGGCTCTATAAGCGTACCTTAACCGGGCTCCTTTAAGGGATCAGGGTTTAGGCTTGATGTAAATCCTGCATTACCCATACAAAGGAATATAGTAGTACCATAATTTCCATAGTCTAGGGTCATTAAGGTAATGCAGATTTTATATCATCAACCGTATGACGGTTTCAGGGTTAATTGTTCCTATAAGGGTTTTAGGGTTCCTACAGGGGTTTTAGGGTTCAAGGTTCAGGGCTCCTATAAGGGTCTACTATGTCTAAGGGTACTACATGCGTGTCATAAAGCTTCTGTACAAATACTCTAGGGTTCTATAATAGGGTGCTAAGCCTGTAAGGGCTCCCAGCAAGGTTCCCTTAAAGGTTCCGACAAGGGTTGCTTCAGGGTTTAGGGTTTAGGGTAGAGTTATGGGACATAGAAGACTTCCAGGGTACTCATGCACCCTGATGCATACGATTTCTGACTGTTGAGGCTTCTGCATGGCAAGGGTTCCTATATGGTTTCCTGCAAGGTTTTACAGTAGGGCTCAGTTTGGGTTTACCTTGACGCTTGCATGTAGTTCCCATAACAAGACACCCTAATAAACTCTATGGTAAGCACTGAAATTTGCTGCAATTTGGGATCTACGACTTGGGGTCGGTGGACTATCGAACCTCCGGTTCGCTGCATTGACGTCTGTTTCGGAAATTCTGGACTTCAGGGTTATCGGTTTAGGGTTTCCGGTTGGGTTCAGGGTTTGGGGCTCTCGGTTTAGGGGTTTAGGGTTCGAGGTTGAGGCTTCTAGGGTGCGGGGTGTAACCTACAGTCTCCATTGTGGTTCCTTTTTGGGGTTACCTTTTAGGATCCTTAATATAATACTGGTTAAACCAAAAAAGGAACTACAATGGAGACTATAGGTAGGGTTCGGGGTTGAAAGTGGGATTTGGAGCTTCGGCTTCGGATCGATAAAGCAGAAAGCTGTTCATGCAGTCCTTCCTTGATTGGAAATCCACAGAGCTAGCCTTTTGGGGTTTTAGGGAGTATACTACCAACAAAAGAAAATGCCCCCAAAGCCCTAAGCCTTCAGAAGCAAGGGTTTTGTGAGGCTTTTACAAGGAAGCCTTATCGTAGGGTTTCATGAGCTTGCTTCACAAGGTCTTATAGGGGCGTCATAGGACAAAGGCTCTTGGGCTCCGTAAGATGCGGTAAGTTCGTAGCTCTCTGTTCCACGAGAGTTGACTGTTGCACGTTCTGACCCCATACCTTGCTGTTAAATTAGAAAACAGTTTAAGCCATGGAATATTGTTGTCCTTCTGACTAGCGAGGTGTGCGGCTGGTAGAACCAATCAAGAACATCCTGATAGTGTTGAACTGCAATACCATAAGAAATGTGTAAGTAGTAATTAGTCTCCGGAGGTTCGATGTTCTACCAGTAACTGTTCAAATGCTACAAGTATCGCGCGACCAGGTTAAAGTACCATCGTGGAGAAAGATTTGGGCAACAGATATTGTGACAACCGACGTTGGGTCGACAATCGCACAAGGCAAGTTCAGCTCCCAGGCACCGCCAGCATCATTGATGTTTAAGGAAGTGACCCACATCGCTCAATCATCTAGTGCTGGGTTCTTTCCAGGGCCAGGGATTCTAATTCAAGTTCACATAATGGGGTCTATAGTGAGTCATAAGGTCTCCTTACTATGATACTTTAATTCTTAGCTTAGCTTAAGTTCCCCAACAAAACCCAGAATTTCACAGAACTGAACGACCCTAAGCTTCCCACAACCGAGCCACACACACATGAGGGTTTAGACTGTAGGGCCTAGGGTATCACTGCCACTCCACGCCTAAACCCAAAATCCGTGAGCCTTCGGTCGCAGTGAAGCTCCGCAGAATGCCGGAAACCAAGACCGATCCCGACCTACACAACTCAGTTCCAAACCACCCCGGCTCTAAACCATGCGCAAAATTTCGAAACGCCCTAAACCCTGAACCCTACACCCTAAACGCCCTAAACCCTAAACCCTAAATGCGGTAACTGGCCAGATGCCTGGTCACCCAGCCGGGTCTCAATTCGCTCAACCTCGTGGGAGCCGATGACTTCAACTAGAGAAAGCGCTACTACGGTTGATGATATAAATCCTGGGGTTCCTTTATAGGGCTCTACAAGGGTACCTTTTCGGGGTTCCTTTAAGGGATCTATAGGGTTTAGGCTTGATATAAATCCTGCATTACCCATAATAAGGAATATACCATAATTCCCATAGTTTAGGGTCCTTAAGGTAATGCAGGATTTATATCATCAACCGTAGGAGGGGAATTAGTCCTAAAGCCCCAAACCCTAAACATTAAACCTCAAACCCTCTTGGAGGATAATGCTTGGCTTATCCGGGCGCTGAGTTTGCAGTGTTGTAACTACCTTATTGATTTAATTATAAGACAGGAAAAGGGGAAGTTTACGCTGTCTATACACCTAGGCTACTAAGTCCCATGATGCTTTAAGCACGCTCTGCATCACCAGCTCGAACCAAAGCCCTGATACTTATGCTAAGACTTTCTAGTCCAATATATAGGGGCCTTAATGATTTCGATTAGGTTTTGGGGGGCATAATGTATTATTGTAGTTATAGCAAGGAGCCCCAAGGTAGTATGGTATAATTCTGAGCCTGATGAAGAAACACCTTTAGTAGGACTCTTTACCTGGATCTTCATATGTTGGCGTTCTAGGGCCGGGGTTTCTTAATCAGGTCCTACCTTTCTCATGTCAAGCTTTCTCGTCTACTTGAGGCCGATCGGTGACCTTAATGGTTTGAATGGTTTAGGTTAGAAGCTGCCCCCACCCTGTAATAGTAACTATAAGGAAAATATTAGGGCCCCATTATATTCCTATTATACCACTATTACAGGGTGGGGGCCCCTTCTAAGGTTTAGGGCTTAATTTAAAGAGTGGAAGGACCCTAAACCCTAAACCCTAAACCCTCAATGATCATCCCAGCCGCACGCTTCGCCAGCTGTGCCTTGTCATCGGCCTTAGTGCTTCCGGACAATCGGACCATGGGGGCCTACTGTAGGGGCCTCAATAAGTATACTAGGGTTCTTTTAAAGGGTTCCTCAAAGAATTCTAAAGGGGATCTTTCAGGGTCTTATGATATAGGGGCCTAAATAACTATTTGAACAGGGTTTTGGCGAGTACACTACAGCTTGTAGTATGATTGTGCTTGAAGCCATTAGGATGCAAACCTTAAAAGGAGAGGTGCACAACAACACACGAGATGATGTAATCTCATTTTGGAATTTGGGCTTGCACCCTGGACCTCAAACCGCCTAGACCCAGCGTCCTACAGAATCTTAAACAATACATAAGAAGGTGCGACAACCAAAGCCGAGTCTTCTGATCAACAAGAACTGCATGAATATCCCCTGCTGCCAGGCCGTGCTACAATTCAAAAGTAAGCCACCCTTAAACCTGGAAGTTGAACCGCTAAGCCTAAACTCGAAACCTAAATCTCGAACTCTACACCCTGAACCCGTAAACCGTGAACTCCAAACTTTAGACTCTCAGCCCTGACCATGTGCCTTAAGATTCAACATTGGCCCCAAGCGTCTCATGCCAAACTTTCGCACAGACTTTGAGAGGACTGGCTGGCTAAAGCGACCGCATGCCAAGTTTTAGAAGCCTTGCTGGAGAAACATCATTATTATTACTCCCACTTCTATTGTGATTATGATTAGTGTTACGTGTAGTATGAGCATTATTACTGCGACTATTGTATACTATTCCAGTATTCTGCCAACTGCGCCAGTCCAAAGCTGGATCCCCGCAGCCCCGAAGTCCAAGACTCTGGCTCCGGAAGGATCAGGGGACTTAGTAAGTACGGTTATAAGTACCCGAATTGGAGCTATAAGTAAGTATAAGCATGGTTACCTTACTTATGACCCTAGTTACTAAGTCCCATGATCCTGTAAGTAAGCCCCAAGCACTCGCAAAACCCTGAGCCCTGAACATGTAAAACCTGGGCTTGCAACCCTTGAAATGTAAATGTCACCACGCCACCAATACAGAAACCCGGGTTCGAATACATACAACCGAAAAGGTCCAAGTAACAATATAGTAGATAAGCTTGGCCCCCGGCATCCACTAAGAAACTACTATTTTTATACTTGGACTCTTTGGGAAGCCCAAAAAAGCCTAAACCCTAAACCCGGCGACCACAGCTCCAAGCTGCCGTCCCCGAGCTTGCCTCATGGCAGCGCAGTCGCTCTCCCAGCCTCGATAGGAGATGCAAGGTGTTGCGGTTGATGATATAAATCCGGGGTTCCTTTAAGGGGGTCTATACATGCTACCTTTAAGGGGGATCTACAGGGGTTTAGGCTTTAGGGTTTGGGGATATAAATCCCGCATTACCCATACTCAGGAATATACCATAATTCCCATAGTTAGGGTCCTTAAGTCCTTAAGGTACTGCAGGATATACATCATCCACCGTAGGGGAGACATTAGGGTCACAGAAGCATTCTGTGAAGGGTCGCAAAGGGATCAATCAGAGTTCCACAAGGGTTTAGGGTTTAGGGGGGAATGAAGGGGTTGTATAAGGCTTCCTGTAAGAGCCCAAATGGAAGCTATGTGGGGACTCCCAGGGCTTCGGGCTTAGAATTTAGGTCTTCGGGGATTCGGGATAGGTGGCTGAAGTTTCAGGGCATTTGATTCCATGAACGTCGTGAATCATGGTTCGTGGTCGCCGGACATTGCTCCTAACTCTACTCTGAAACACAACCCCGCGTCACTACCACCCGCCTATCCTAAACTCCAACAACTGGGCAATGCACTCGAGTCCAAACTACATATATATATATATATGCAAACACATATACACATGCGTATCCACCTGCGGTTCAGAAAACGCAGCCTCAAACTCAATAGAAGAACCCTGTGGACTCTGACCTATATGACTAAGGCCCAAACTCTCAACAAGACGAAATCCTGAAACCCAAACTTCAGACCGCGACACCCCTCGCAATAAAAGCAACACAAAGCCCTACACACCCTCCCTGTGAACCCAATACAGTACAGAATTCCCATTATGACACCCCTCTGCAGCCAGGGATCTGCCCTAGTTGTGAAACCACGACATCCATGTGCCCCTTGGCTTCGGCGAAGCCTGCTTGCACCTGACGGCTCCAAGATTTGGTGGGTTGTAGGTTTCGAGAGCTTTGACAGTGAATCCTACTATGTCTCTATGAGCATGCGCCCTAAACCCTGGCCCCTAGACCCTAAACCCCTAAACCCTGAAACCCTAAACCCTAAACCCCTAAACCCCTAACCCCTAAACCCTAAACCCCTAAACCCCTAAACCATAAACCCCTAAACCCCTAAACCCTGAACCCCTAAAGCCTAAACCCCTAAACCCCTAAACCCTAAACCCCCAAACCCCTAAACCCTAAACCCCTAAACCCTAAACCCCTAAACCCCTAAACAAGCTCTTGGACGTCAACCAAGGAGCATGCACCGCCAGCTCCGCCGAGCGCTCGGCGAAGCGTTTCCGGAGGTCTTCATATCGCTCCTCACCTTCTTTCTGGGGTTCTTACAAGGGGATCTATAGAGGTTATTCGTTTTAAGGGTGCATTGGGACTTTCGTACTGACCTATAGAGGTTTAGGGGTTTAGAGTTTAAGGGTCTAAGGTTTTTCTTAAATGGGTGTAAGGTCTAGGGTTTAGGGTTTAGGGGTTTAGGGGTGTACGCAGGGGTTGAGTTGTTTGGGTTTAGGGGTTTAGGGTGCTCCTCATCTTGCTTTCTCAGCTTCTCAAAAGGGGATCTATAGGGGTTTAGGGGTTTGGGGTTTCGGGGTTTTACGGGTTTGTGTAGGGTTTAGGGTTTGGGGGTTGAGGGGTTTAGGGTTTCTTTGGGTGCTCCTCACCTTGCTTTTTGGCTTCCCAGAGGCTCCAACATCCCTCAAATTGAGGAAGATACCTTAAATCATATAAGGGATCCTACTATGATATAATTTATGGTACATGAAGGTGCCTTTTTAGGATCCGCTTTAGAAGGGTGCCGTACTGTATTTGGGATGTGAAGACGGACCCTAATTTAGAGAACTGCCTATATGGTAGAAGCCGGGCAGCTGGAACATCAAGCTCCTCATGCCCTTAAGGTAGTGTATGGGGAATTCCAGCAGTAATCATCCCACATGCATGTTCCAACTTTCTGAATTTCACCACAGAGTTCAAAGTACTGCTTGGTTCGATGTGGTCCTATTCTTGCAAAGTGTGGTTGTCAAAATTATGGTCCCTTTTTGGGTCCTCATTATAATACGGCACCTAATATATAGGGTACCCCAAAAGGGACCATAATTTTGACAACTACCCATGTGCTTTTGGGGTCCGGTGGCTTAAGGTTAAGGTGTCGGGGCTTGAGTCGGTTGCGGCTTAAAGTCAGGTTTATTCAAGCTTTTAAAGGGATCTATGGGGTTCCTTAAAGGGATCTTTTTGGGGGTTGCTCAAAGGGATCTATGGGGTTTAGGGTTTAGGGTTTACTTGGCGGGGCAGGGGACTTAGTAAGTCGTTTATTATGTAGGGTTATACTTGGGAGAACTCCATTCAGGGTACATATAACTCTACTTACAACCTACTTACTAAGTCCGATGCCCCTCCATGTAAGAACCGTGGATTCAGGGGTTCAAAGTTTCTTGAGGGATGGATTTGGAACTCAAAGTCTAAGGCCCGAGCCTGGGACAAGAAGCGATATCATTGAGCCGGATGATCGTACAATAGCAAGACAGTTCCCCAGAATCTTGACTGGACTTTGAAGTAACCAGGGAGAATAAAGTATAGACTTTTATTTCATAATGGTTCCTCTAAGGAACAGGTACCCAAAACAAGTATTCAAGTATGGTACTCCAAACCCAGGTGTTGGCAACCTATGAACCCGAACAAGCATAACAACCGAAGCAACGGGACCAAAGCACCTCCAAAACTCCTACATTTTGGGGCCCATTATGCTATAATTAATCAGAATAAGGAACCACCAGAATAGTGTAGGTAATTAATGATCTAGGCCCCTACAATAAACTCCTGCAAGGTTCCGTAGCAATTCCTTTCTGTGGCTCATATTTCGGATCCTATAAAGTAAACCCACAAAGGAACTACTATGGAGCCTATGGGTACTCATATAAGAGCCCCTGCTGTAGCTGGTGTCTTGAAACTCAGAACCCCGCGAATTTTGCACAATCAACCCAAGGGCCTGAAACACTAAAATCCCAGACCCTCAGTCAATCCTAGGCCCTACAGACGATATAAACTCTAAAAGCCCTCAAAATCCTTACAACCTACGTATGGTACAAATCCTAAACCCCTGAAACAAAAAACATAAAAACAACTCAACACCGCCTAAACTTGAAGCCAAAAAGCAGCTCTCCATCTTCCTCGCAAGCTCTTCGGCCCCATCTTCGGGGCAGCTGGCAGCCTCGGCAGCCGGTAAGGACAATCCGGTGTAACTAGGGCTGATGATATACATCCTGCATTACCTTAAGGACCCTAAACTATGGGAATTATGGTATATTCCTTATTATGTTATAATGCAGGATTTACATCATCAACCCTAGGGCTGATGATGTTAATCCTGGGCTCCTTTCAAAGGGTTCGATAAGGGTACCTTTAAAGGGCTTGGTTCCTTCAAGGGTTTAGGGTTTAGGGTTTTAGGGCTTAGGGTTTAGGGTTTAGGGTTTAGGGTTGGTTGTAATCCGGCATTACGCATAAAGAGCAAGATGCCACAATTCCCAGAGTCTAGGGCCATTAAGGTAATGCAGGATTTGTTATATCATCAACAGAAATATTTCAGGGCCCGTAGTGCATAAAGGGTTTGTAAGTTTAGGATCTTCGGGGCTCCCCCCCCCCACCCCCCCAAAAAAAAGGCAGCAACAATCCGAGGATCATAACTAACAAGCGCTGTGATAAGTCCCCGCCAGCTATAACAATACAGGGGCATTTTTTAGGATGACAGCACATCACAAGGGATATCGCCAGCTCACAAGCCCCGATGCCGCGTAGGCGAAGTTTTCACGACAAGACTACAAATCTCAACAACTAATGCTGCTGGCTTGCATTCTACAATCACCACAGATATGGCTGTGGGTCCTACTTAAAGGATCATGGGGCTTAGTAAATAGAGTTTTGTATGAATAATGGAACTATACTTATGTACCTTAAACTTTAACCCCAGTAAGGGTACTTATAACCGTACTTACTAAGTCCCTTGATCCTCCAAGTAAACCTTCCGCACTCCAACACTTTCACAAAGCAACCGCAAGCTTTGCGGGCGCCAGCTGCAGCGCGTCGCACCGTTCGTGCACCTGCCCATGATGACATGGCCATGAGCAACCGTTTTTTCACTCCTACTTCAGTGTGCAGGGTTTCGTGCAAAATTTGCAAGATCCTAAAAACATTTGATTAATCCCTAAACCCTATAAACCCTAAGCCCATAACGGTTGGGGAAGTCATATCCCTGTGAGTTTGGCTTCTTGGTCCGTCAACTCAGGTGGTGGGGGTTCCCAGGTTTTAGTTGCACTAATTTGGGAGTTTCCGAAAATAGGGGATCCGAATATATATATATATATATATATACAAATATATATATACCCTAAATAGTAGGATCCTTAATATAAGGACCTCAAAATTAGGTACCCCCCAATTGTCGGAAACTCCCATTTGGGACCCAGGATCGGAGATTCGGGTTTAGTTTTGGGGCGTCAGGATAAGTTTTCGGTCATCGAGGTGATGGGGATCAGAGTGCAGAAGATGCGAATCGAGCATTCAGGAGAATATCTAGCAGCTTAGATATTCATGTCAAAGTTGAAGAAATATTTCTAGTCTTATCATGTAATTCCTAAACCCTGAAGCCTAAACTAAAAATGCACCTTGCTTCTTATCATGTGATTCCTAAACCCTAAACCCGGAACTCAAAATGCACCTTGCTGAGCTCGTCTAAGACGTGATGCTCCAAGCGCTTCAAGGCTTGCGCAAAGGCCTCCGGCAGCCTCGGTGCATGGGGTTCTTAAAGGATCATGGGACTTAGTAACTACGGCTCCTTGAAGGGCTCCTTAAAGGGATCTACGAGGGTTCCTTAAAGGGTTCTACAACGGATCTATAAGGGTTTTGGGTACTTAAAGGATCATGGGACTTAGTAGCTAGGGTTATAAATAAGGTAGCTATACTTATCATGACTTATAACCTCAAAGTACTTATAGCCTTACTTACTAAGTCCCCTGATCCTCCAAGTTCAGGGTTAAGCGCTTTACGGGTTCAGGGTTTAGGGGGGGTTGGGTGTTCACGGTTGAGGGTTTAGGGTTTAGGGTTCTGGGTCTAGGGTTTAGGGTTCAGGGTTTAGGGGTTCAGGGGTTCAGGGTTTAGGGGTTCAGGGTTGAGGGTTTCAGGGCTGAGGGGTTCTGGGTTGAGGGGTTCGGGGTTTACATATGCCTCGTAAAGGAATCCTTAGTCTACGGCTTAGGATTTATGGGGCTGTAATGCGAGCTATAAGGGTTTCTATGGGGTTTCTAGCTCATAGGGTTTTGAAGGGATCTATAGGGTTTCTGTAAGACCATACCTGCAGTCTCCGTTGTAGTTCCTTTTTTCGGCCATATAAATGGTTAAGCCCCAATAAAGGAACTACAATGGAGACGATTGGTAGGGGTTACGGAGAAGTCCGGGAAGCCTTCAATCCTGGGTCTGACATCCCCACATTCGCCTCTGAAGATGTTCAAATGTAAGCTTAGGCGAAGGTCAAATCGGAACCGCACTCAGTATCTCCGCTCCAAATAATCAACAACAAAGATCCTGAATACCACTTAGAGGTTCAGGGGACTAAGTAAGTAGCTTATAAGTTGGGTGTAGTAGGGCTATAAGTACCCTACATGGAGTTACCCCCAATATAACCCTACCTATAACCGACTTACTGAGTCCCAGGCAGGAGCCCCAGTGGAGCCACACAAAAGAAAAGACAACCCTCCTTTATAGAAGGGAGGGTGGTTCAAGGGGGGAGGGTATAAGGAATCCTCAGGGGACTGTAAGGGAACCTTAGGGAGTACTAGGGAGAGTTAGGGATCACTAGGCTATATACCCCCCCCTTAAGGATACTACAACTCCTGATGTCAGGCCAAAGCACTCCGGGGCTTCTTCCTCACACCTGGCTCCCTCATTCGCGAGGCTGCAGAAGCTGTCGTTCGTGTCGCTTCGAACTTCTCTGCCTCAACAGGCCGGCCCTAAACAGGTATCCCTACAGCCTATGAAGCCCGAAGCACTACGCCCTAAAGCCCAAAACCCCGAACTCATAACTCGAAGACAGTCTTACAGTCATACCCCTGAGCCCCACATCCTAAACCCTAAACCTCCCAACCTCCCCAAAACGGAAAGGAGCCACTGAGTGCCGGAAAGCGGCACTTGCTGTGGGACTCCAGAGACTCCACCCGGGGATTCAGGTCCTCCTGCAGCTGGCGCCCTGAGCTGGTTCCGGGTTAGGGTTCGGGCTTTTGGGCTCAGGGTCTAGATAGAGTTTAGGGTTCAGGGTTTCGGGTTTAGGGTTCTGGGTCTAGGGCTCTGGCTCCAAAGTTCCGGAGTATGGTTCAGGGTTTAGGGTTCAGGGTCTGGGGCTTAAAGGTGTTAGCCAGAACTAGATCAGGGCTTTCGGGGCTATGAAGGATCTGTATAAAATTTAGGTCAGGAGCCTTCGAGTTTAGGGTTTAGGAGTTTAGGGTTTAGGGACTATAGGAGTTTAAAGGTTCAGGGACTATGGGGTTCTGTGGCAGGCTAGGCCGGCTAAGCACGAAAACCTGTAATCGGCAGTTAAATCTCAACAGCTCGGCACTTGGCTTAGGGTTTAGGGTTTAGGGCCTTTAGGGACCATTGGAGCTTAAGGTTCATTTTCCGAAATACTAAAATTGCCAAACCCAATAATAAGTTGTTGGCCAAGAGTCGCAAGCGCCGTATTGCGGCCGCTGCGTCCTGACAGTCGCCGCAGAAGTCTACGAAACTGAACCCAAAGATGTCAACCACAAAGCCTAAACCCCACCCTCCATCCGACTGGCCATCCGCTATAGGCATGAAAAAATGCAGGGTTAAACTAGTGCGTAAAGAGTAGAGATTGGCTTAGCATCTTCAGTTTTAAGGTTTAGGGCCGGTTTAGGAGCCCTTTTATTCGGATCTGGAGTTTCGGGCTACGGACAAATACCGCATCCGACTGTCGAGCCCAAACCTCCCTGCCCCCTGCCCCCGGCGACCCATGAGCCCTGCAGCTACATGGGTGGTGGTCAAAGTTAGGGTCCCTTTTTGGGAACCCTAAATATTAGGTGCCGTAGTATAATTATAATAATAAGGACCCAGAAAGGGACCATAATTTTGACAACCACCCACATGAACTCTCGACTCTCGACCTACGATCACGTGCAAACGGCACGCATAGGCTGCCATGGTTTTTTGTTGTTTAAAGAGAGGAGTCCCAGCACACCCAACTCCCTAGGCCCTAGAATGTTGAAACCCCCAAATCCCAGCAATTCTGCAAGGGTAAAAGGAGGGACCCTCAATAAGGACCCCTACGTATATACCCTTAACATATGCTATTATATACCCATCACCTAGCCCATGATAGGGCAGGGGTCCCCATTAAGGGTCCCTCCTTCTCCCCCTTTGAAACTGTAAATCCCAAGATCCGAGTCCTGGACTCCAGCCCTGAAGTCCCTGAAGCCCCACGGTTTGGTTTTAGAATATGGGAGTTTCCGAAAATTAGGGGGTACCTGTAAAGGGATCTATAAGGGTTCCTTTAAGGGTTCTTTAAAGGGATCTCTAGGGTTTTGGGAGGGTTTTGGATCAAGCCTAAACCAAAATCTCGACGTACCTCCCCACAGTTTATGTATAGGGTTTGGGATAAAGCCTAAACCTAAATCCCTACCACCCCACAGCTTAGGGTTTAGGGGCATTTAAGAATCTCCTAAGGCCCCCGACCCCAGACTCACACTTCCAAGTTTGAAGCACTTAGAGGATCATGGGACTTAGTAAGTAGGTTATAATTGAGGTTATAAGTCCCCTAAGTGGGGGTTATCCTAATTATAACCTACTTATAACCCTTACTTGCTAAGTCCCATGAGCCTTCAAGCACTTCCCTCGACGGTCCTCGCTCTCCAGGGCAGAGAGTCTCTCTTCCAGTGGCCGGAGGCGTTGACCCAGGTTCCGGTGCATCTCCTGCAAACGACCCTAGACTACCGTAATGCGATAACCCTACCTTTTTGGCAGGTCCTGATATTATCAACCCTAATATGGGGGGTTTCTGAAAATTAGGGCTATCTCATTTTAGGGGTCCTTAAAATAAGGATCCTACTATTGAGGGTACTATAATATGCTCCCTTCCATATAGAATTTGAAGGGGCCTTACAAACAAGTGATCAAGGTAGATCCATGTCTTGGCTCCCCAGTAGCCCCTTTAGGTAAGGGCACCCTTTCCTTACTATGCGGTTTGAACAAAGAGACCCCCTAAATTTCCTGACTCAAAGGGCAGAAGGATACTACGGAGGCCCGCTAGATGTATGTACAGGGGGTTTAGGGCCTAGGGTGTCTGAATGCACGCATGTTGGCATGCATGCATGCATGCATGTGTGTATGTGCGTGTATGTGTGTAGTTATGCGCGAACTCACGCATACCTATGTTCACTGTGGCTTGGTAGGACTCGGGGAGTAGAGTTCACTTGAGAAGGGGCGTGGGCAAGGTTGATTAACCAGCCCAGGTCACCATCTAATTACTATCAGCACGTATCCAGTTTACAAGGGAATTCCAGGGATTGCGGTAGTGTTTGGAACAGTTCACATTGCGGAAGCTCGCGTCTTGGTTTGCAAGGCAGCATGTGATGTCCTCCTCGCGCACGGATGTCTCGCGCAAACTGCTGGCAAAGTGCTTCAAGTCCTGCAGGAGCCAATCAGTACTTAGAGGATCATGGGACTTAGTAAGTAGGTTATAATTGGGGTTATAAGTCCCCTAAGTGGGGTTATCCTAATTATATCCTACTTTTAACCTTACTTACTAAGTCCCATGAGCCTTCAAGTATTGATTTGCGATTCTGATTCCTAGGTTCCCCAGTAGGCCCATTATAATAAGGGTACCATTTTTCTTAATATTCTGTTTTAATAGGGGAACCCAGAGAGAAAAAGGGTAAAAGGGTACTACTGGGGAACCTGGATTCTCATGATACCTATACTGAGGGGCATGTGCCCAACACAGATTCTTGCAGGAAGCCTGTAGCAGGAACACTTGCATCCAACTCCCTGGCCAAGCCTCTATCGTTCAAACATGCTGACATCCGCGGCAACTGCCTACGGACCATCAAAAAATAATACTGACCCAATCCCTAAACCCTACACTCCTCAATCCTAAACTGGGTCCTGCTGTGCTTCTGACAACTGCCTCCCAATCTCGCGCTCGACCTCCTCTTGCCTGGGTGCCAGCGCAAAACCCGATGCAACCTTTTGCAACAGGGTTTACGGGTTTTAGGATTTAAGGGTTTATAGGGCCTAGGGTTTAAGGGTTTAGGGGTTAGTACATGAAAACGCAAAAGTAAGAACACATCCTACATGAGCTCAACTATAGCCTCACAAGGCTGCACAGTCCCAAGGCTAAAGCCACGCAACCCAATGCTTACCGGATATTCCGGTTCAACGTTGGCTGACAACAAGTCAATACCACGGTACAGCAAACAAATCCGTAAACCTCAACTGAAAAGCCAAAACGACTGATCGCTATGTTGTCCATCCACTGTATAGTCACTCGGTCTCTTCTGTGGAACTCCATGCATATAGTGGGCATATCTGCATGCTCCTACTACCTTTGCTTACATGTGTATATTTGTGCACATGCGTGTGTATATAAATGCACACGTATATATAACTTAAATTACATGTATCTGACAATGTCAAAAAGCAGACCAATGTAGACCTGATGGGCATGACTTCCTTGGTCATTCAGCTCCGATCTTCGCCCTCACGCTTCATTGGTTTTCCCTGACCCTAAACCTTAAATTCAAAACCCCTACCCCCCCCCCCCCCCCCCCCCCCCCCCCCCAACCTAAATCCAGCAAACCCTAAAACCTGAACCCTGGAACCTGAACCCTAGAACCTAAGGCCCAAAGCCCTAAAACCTAAACCCAAAACCCCTAAACCCCTGTAGATCCCTTTTTAAGAAGCCTAGAAAGCACGCCTCACGCCCCCGATACTTCCGGCAAGCGACGCTTTGGCAAGAATCCCGCAGCGGCCATTTAGCGTTTGACACTCATCCCCCAGGCTTCTCCTTGGGAAGTTACAGGGTTCAGATTTGTTGAGGTTTTAGGGTTTAGGGTTTTAGGGTTTAGGGTTGTAGGGTTTAGGGTTTAGGGTTGTGGGTTTAGGGTTTAGGGGTTTAGGGTTTAGGGTTGTAGGGTTTAGGGTTTTAGGGTTTAGGGTTTGGGGAGTCTTGTTTTTGGGGGATGTGGGTGTTGCGGCGTCCTCTTTTTTTATGGAAGTTGTACGTGTTGGGGCCACAGGGACTTGTTGCAGAGGGTTTATATAGGGTCCAAGTTTGGCCTTGTGCTGGCTTTTCGACTTCTCGACCTTTGAGGTTTAGTCTGTGCCTTTCAGTGACAAGGGTTGAGGGCGTCGAGGTGTTGAGCTTTAGGGGTTTGGGGCCAAAAGTGCGGGGTGAAGGAGTGGGGCTTACGAATGCTCAGTGTTGGTGGTTTAGTGCTTTAGGCTCAAGTTTGATGGCTCCGTGCTCGGATGCCTGATTTGCAGCTTTGCGAAGCCTTTCACGGGCAGCGGTATAGTCCATACTTGGAGAATCAGGGGACTTAGTAAGTATGTTTATAAGTCCACCAATTGGGGCTATTAGTAATTATGAGTACAGTTGCCTTATTTATAACCCCTATAGTTACTAAGTCTCATGATCCTTTAAGTACTGCAAGCCCAAGATCCGGCAGACTCTGCCGTCTAACTGCCCTTCTGCGGGACGCGCTCTTATGAGTGATAATTTTGCGGCCCAGCGATCCCCTTTACGGTCACATACACACTTCGGGAATTCAACAGACAGCCACTCCTTGAAAAAAAGGAACAAGAAAAAACACATATACAAGTAAATCAGCAACTCTGAAGGCACATCCAACCCCGACAGAAACCTACACCAAAAGCCACATAAAGCCCTGAACCCTACGGTGCCCAAGGGCTGAAGCTTCTGAATCTCGAGCGCCGGCTGACTATGCGATTCTCTCATCTTTTTACCATTGACCCGATGTAAACTCTGAGCCCCCCCCAAGCCAGACATCTTACCTTTGGTTAGTAGGGAATGGAGGAATGGAGTACCATTAGAACTACTATTACTACCATTCTTCCATTCCCTACTAACCGAAGGTAAGACATGCGCAAAGCCTGGTGCCGAGCATCAAGCCTCTCGACATCTCCAGCAGCCGCGCTTCTGTTCGGCGCTGCTGCTCCTCTTGAGCTTTCGGTCGGAGACGGGTTCCCCGCCTTTTTGGGGTTTAGACTTTAGGGGTTTAGGGGGTTTAGCGGCCTAAGCGAGATATCATAAACGCCATAGATATTGCAAGCTTAGTTGAAGAGAACTGGACTCTGCAGGCTGCAAGGAGTAAGTTTAGGGTCTATATATGGAGACTACAGGGATCAGATCGGGAGGTTGGTGGTTTCGATGGTGCCGCTTTCCAGCCGAACAGAGTCTACTATCGAGTATCTAGCAGAGTCTACTATCGAGGATTGAAGGGCTTATCTCGTCTTTCTCGCTGCAAGGCTGAGAGAGCTGCAGGATGTTGCGCTGGAACGCTAAACCCTAAACCCTACTTGCGGGGGCAGGGGACTTAGCAGGTTATAAGTAGTAGAGTTATAAGTACCCTAAATGGATTACCCCAATTATCACCCTACTTATAACCTATTGACTAGGTCCCCTGGCCCTCCAAGTATCAACCCTAAACCCTATGAACCCTAAACCCGAGATTCGGGGTTGTGGGACACGGGCGGCTCCGGTCTTATCATGCGAGGACCCCAGCCATGCAGGCCGAGAATTTACACTAGGTGTCGATATCAACAGTCTCCAAACTTAATTAGAATAAGGGCTCCATATTCAACAATCAGGTAAGTTACAAACTATCCCAAATCGATACCGAATACATTGGAGGCAGCAAGGCTTTCCGAAGATTGGGGGTGGCTCAGGCACCTCAGAGCACTGGTTCCTTGCTTTGCAGAAACAACTCGCGGGAGCAAAGCCACCGGTCACAGCACCAAATCCTAAACCAAAAGACCATCACACGGCATAGTATACCAATATATGAGCCATAGTTCAAGATTATAAGATACGACCAACTGTATATAGCATATGCAGCACACCTGGACCAGCAGCCCATACCTACTGTGGAGCCCAAGGAAGCCCCAACCGCTCAAGCCTTGGCCCCACCCCGGCCGAGGGCCTCGATCTCTCCGAAGCGGCCTGCTCTTATCTTGCAATGTCGATGACCATGGCGACTACGGTGAGGATGGTGATGATGGCATGATGGTGATTATGGCATCATGGGGATGATGGTCATGATGGTGATGGTGGTGATCATGAACCGGTCTGTGACGACGGCTGCTGCTGCAGCAGGTCAGCGAAGGCTTTCACGCATTCGGCTGCGCGTGTCAAAAACGATATGCGAGGAAAGAAGGACAGAAGCAAGGAAGGACAAGGAACCTTTAGCCTGAAGCTTCGGAGAGTCTCTGAAGTTTGGGCAGAACGAAACACGTCAGCGATGCCCGAATCAAGGGTTCAAGAGCATTGAGAGTGTAAGCGCCTGTGAACGAAAATCAGAACCCAAAGGGTTCTAGTAGTAATATAATAGCTACTCAGCAGTCAACAGACTGAAAATTGGGCGCCACATGTATATTATTGTACCATTACTGAGACCGGTTGAGGAAAAGCTAATCATGCAAAAGCAAAGCCTGATATGTCGGGTACAGTGCACGCTCTTGGAAACCTCAAAAACCTTCAACCCTGACCCTAAAACCTAAGCCCTTTGCGCCGTTCCTGATCCTAAGTGCGGGGATTTTGCAAGACGTGGGGCCCCGTTCAAAGCACCCGGACCAGTGAGAAAGACAACACACAACGTGAACTGGAACAAAATCTCAAATAGGGCCCCGGTAGTTAGAATCGGGTTATGGGGTATCATATAGTTTATGTTTCTCAAGGAACCCTGGGGAAGAGCATTGGCAAGTAGTCAAGCTTCTACATTACTGATACTGGCTTGCTTCAACTTGCTTCTGACCAGTGGATTTCCTTCCAGGCTCCGACGGATGCAAGAGTGACTCTCTCGGGGATACATAACAAAAGACCCTAGTTGACAGAACCCTTACGAATTAGATAGGAGTCCCAAAAAACGCGTGACCTCCAAGTGTAGACGCTAAACCTAAGACATGTAGCAGAATCCTGATTCCTTACCACGAGGACCCCTAAACAATGCACACTTGTTTCTGAAACCTCAAATGAAAAAATGCAGAGGCCGGAATTCGGGTTCATTGGCTTTCCTAGCATCATGGGCCCCAAAAACCTATTCCATTTATTACAGCCCTCCCATATCAATTCGTAATTTCATGGCTCTGTCCACAAAGCCAAGCCTTCTGCTCGACGATGCGCCAGGCAATTCAGATGCTCGGCTTGCTGTTGCTCTGCAACCTCAGAGTAGCCAGATCAGGCTTACAACTGAAGCCTAAATCCAAAATCCTAAACCAACACCCTAAACCCTAAACCAAAACCCTTGACCCTGAACCCTAAACCCTCTAAATCCCGGACCATCAGCCCTGAAGGGCCTAAGCCCCAAGCCGTGAGCCCGAAGTCTCGCAAAATTGGGAGCTTGGCTTGGTGTCAAGAAGGTCGTAGAGAGGTAGAGTCCCTTAGAACCATAATACAAACACTATTGCTAATGTTCTCTGGGGGTTTTATATGAACAAAAACACAAAAATAACTCCTAAGGAGACTTTAGGGTTTACAAGAGTTCCTGACTTGCTTCAGCTGGTGCATATCGGGCTGAGGAGGTGCCTTGCAGACCCCAAAGCCTAAAGCCTGACTTCCAATGCTCGACCCAGGCCCTTTGCCCCTAAACCTTATAAACCCTAAACCCTATAAACCCTAAACCCTAAACCCTATAAACCCTAAACCCTATAAACCCTAAACCCTAAACCCTATAAACCCTAAACTAGCTGTTTGCATCACAGCCCTAGGCCACCGTTTGGCTCTAAGCCCTAAGCTCTGAACCCTAAACTCTCCACCTGCGGGATCACTGATTTTCCGGAAGTACCACGACAACCATTCTGAAACCCCTGAGATCCAGAGTCTGGGGGGGGGGGAAGGATAATAGTTAGAGTAAGGTCTTGGGAGTCCCGTATAGTAAAAGTTTAACAAGGAGCCCTAAGGAAGGATATTGGGAAATATTCACGCTTCTGCTTCTACATAACTATTGCGGATTGTTTGGACCTCTGTAGCCAGTATCAGCGGCTGAATTGCTGGATCCCTAGAAACTCTCAACCTGACTGAGATAAACATAAACCCTAAAGCCCATTTAAAGCATCAGCTCTATGAGCCACCCCCACCAAAAACTGAATAAGACACGTGCTGGAATGCAAGGCTCGAGGGGCCACTTGCTGGTGGAAGGCGGCCAGCAGCGAAAGCAGTCGTTCCTGCGCCGCGAAGGTGTTCTGGGCTTAGGATTGCGGGCTGCTGTGATAAGGGATACAAGGTTTGGGGTTTCCCGGTCGAGGTATTGGAAGCCAAGCCCGGAAGACAACCTAAACCCTCATCCGAAAACTCTCCAAGTCCAATGCAACAGACCCTTAGAACCGCTACACCCGGTCTTATCACCTCCCCTCGAAAGTGTATAGTTGAAAAGTTTTCGCAGCCGAAGTTTAGAGTTTCGGATTTAAGGCTTCACGCAACTGGGGTGGCGGAGTTTATTCTGCGAGTAGAGGCTTCGACACGGCTCGCTCAACACCATACTTCAACACGTCGAGCGAAGTAGTATACAGCCCTGAATAACTAAGTAGAACAAGCCTTTGACTTAGGTTCCTGTGTATTCATACTAAGGAGCCCCAAGGAATGATACTGGGTAATTCAGGCCCTCATATTATGGACTGGGCCGCAAGGCGGTTGGATGCATGTTCCAAGCTCGGGCATACACCATAAGAGAAGCGACCCCACTCCAAGCAGAAACATCGTAGTGCCCTGCTAAATCGTGCTCGAGCATCAGTTCCTGTTGGAGGTGTTTGGGAGCTCTGCAGCCTCACTATAGGACAGGGTTTTGGGTGGTCATATACAGTTTTTGTAAGAAGGGGCCAACCATAACACAATATATACAGAATCTAATCAGGAACCCTCCCATATATGGTCTTGGCATTTATTTAGACCCCTGTCGTACTCTTTGTGAACAGCCCGTGGCAACAATACCTTGCCTCTACCATACGGGCGGCGTGATGATACATGAGATTAGGGTGAAGTGGCTCAAACCCGAAAATGCCTCCATCAAAAGTGAGTATCTTGAATCACAACAGCATGGAAAGTAATGAAATTTTGACTCGTGCCACTATGCACGATTGCTTGTTGTCTCTTGATGTTCATGTTTTGAGATCGGAAGCAACCACAACCGACCGTGGGCGTGCATCGGTTTGCAAGCGGAAGCTTTGTCGAACGCGCCCACTGATGCTGAAGCTTGGGAGCTGATGAAGAGTCGTGTGGTCATGGCGATACTTGCCGCGATGCACCGACGTTCACCGAGGTTCCGTTTGGAGAATGGCTTCAGTACGGATTCACACAGACCATCATGCCGACACACGGAAACGAAACCCTAAACTTTAACGTAAACAAGAAACTTAAACCCCTGAACCCCAGACCAAAGCGGAGAACGGAGCCCATGGAATGCCCTACATAGAGAGCCTCGGAATCATCGAGCTGGCTTTGCTGCTGACGTCGCAAGGTTACATCCTACCGATCGGATTGCTGTTTGAGGAAGGTTTAGGTTGTAAGTTTTAGGATATTCGGTTCAAGGCTGAGCACTTATGGGCTCCCGAGTTTGGCATGTTTAGGGTTAGAGGTGGATCTAGGGATTCATTCTTCAGTGAATAGCAAAGCCTCCGTCACAGAACCTCTGTGCTTTCTTCGGAAGTCAGTTTCCCCTGGGAAGGCAACAGTACAAGGGAAACTGGGCGCTGATGGAAGTTGTAGCCTTGTCGGAAAACGGTGCAGTGCCTTAGCATCAATATGGTGGTATGGTGGTAACTTATAGAACACCCTCTTGAAACTGGACAACAACGGTTCGTATTACCAAACGGCCAAGAACCAGCAATACTACAGGGTAGTACCGGTAATCTTGTGCATAATGTTTACCAACTGTTGGGTCGTCACTAGTCCACTTCATTACTGTGGCCCAAACGGGCATGTCCTACAGTTCTTACCATGGCACTTCTTCCTGTTGCGACGGTTCCTGCCAGTGCTGAAATCCGCTATGACCCTGCATTCGCCTGCATCAGCAGAATAATACTTCCTACTTTTCGTCGTCGACGCCGCTGGCGATAGGGCAACAGCACTTTAAGCCCCGCCGGCTCCTTCATCACAAGACTACACACCTGAACAAAAACCTAAACCCACCAGGCCTAAAGCCCTAAACCCTGCGCCAAATCCAACCCCTCAGTTCGGGGTTTGAAATACTTGAAGGCTCATGGGACCTAGTAAGTAAGGTTATAAGTAGGTTATAATTAGGATAACCCCACTTAGGGGACTTACAACCCCAATTATAACCTACTTACTAAGTCCCATGATCCTCTAAGTAATGGGGTGAGGGTACAGGCCCTAAATTCCTTAACCGGAAGCAGCTCCTACTTCGAAACAGTCGCCTTGCATTTATGGCGATGGTGCCGGAGTGCTCTTGAACTCAGTTGGTACTAAAAGGAGTCTGTATCTCCTCATAGTCTCCATATGCAGCCCGCTTAGAACAATCCAATTTTCGCAGGCTGCTGGTGCGAACATGTACTAACACCTTCCCAAATCCCGCATCAAAAGCAACAAAACCATGTAGCTCTTGCTCGTATATATGTACAAACATTCCAGTTCTTGTGGCCCCTACTTAAAGGATCATGGGACTTAGTAATTCGGGTTATAAATAATGTAACTATACTTATAAGTACCCGATCCTCCAAAGTAGACCCTAAACCCTAAACTCTATAGATCCCTCTAAGGGGCCCCTATAGATCCCTTTAAGGAACCCTACTTTAGGCAACGCTGATCGTCCTCCTCAGAAGCCGAGCCCCCTCGGGAGCTACCCGAAGGCGGCCCCTGGCGCCTTCGAGGTTTCCGTTTCGAACCCCATAATATAATATAATATACCATAATATACTCTAATATAATATAATATAATATAATATAATATACCATATATACTCTAATATAATATAATATAATATAATATACCATAATATACTCTAATATAATATAATATAATATAATATACCATAATATATCATAATGACCATAAACCCTAAACCGGGTTCATGTCAGGGTTTTAGTTTCGCTTCTTAAGTGCATCGGGTTTTGGTTTAGGTTTAAGGCTTAAGGCGCTTGGGGTTGAGGGTTTTCAGATTCCATTTTTGTGTCTTTCAGGCCAGGATCTTCCTCAAAACAGGATATACGGCTGCTGGTGCCACCAGGGAGACAGGCAGGATCATCCCCTTGTAGCCCGACACCAGTCACAGAAATCGCCAACCCATGCCTCCCACGGCGGAGCAAAGCATTGAACCAGGAGTCCCCAAGAAAGCCTTGCTGACCACAAACCACAGTAAACCCAAACACGTCTTTCCTCGAGCTGAAACTTCGCTCCTAAATCCTGAACCTGAAATTCAGGTTCAGGTTCTGAAAACCAACATCCATAATCAAAACCTCAAGCCCTGAACCGTAAGCCCGAACTAGGTGTCGATTTCAACAGTCCCGAATCCGAAAACTATTCATAATGAGGGCTCTATAATAAACAACAAATGATTTAGCCCACATCGATACCTGTCAAATTTCAGCCTTCGTAGCCAGCGCATCCATGGCAGGTCACCCTGTGCGCGTCGCTCGCGTGGGGCTGCAGCTGCCATGGCGGATCCCTCTTCTTGCACCTCCAGCACCTGAACCCTTCAGAACCCACCTTTTGAACCCAAAGGGCCCTGTGTACTGTCATGGGGGATATTTTTCTCAGGCATATTTGTAATTCCTTCTAGGGAAACCCTACATCCTACTATATCGGTGCATAGGACCCTTTGGGTAAGGCTTCCTGTCTATGACTTCCCTAGATGCATCCCTAAAACGTAGGCTTTGTGGCATTAGGGTTGCATCAGCCGAAGACTGGTAGATAAAGTCACACTGAGCAGTCTCGTGTCTGACCACTTCGAAGTTCATAGAGACAGTAAAGTAACTGCCTTACGAGGTGTTCAATAGACCTTCAAAACTCGTGTTCTCTATTAAACACTGACTGAGGGAAGTTAAAATCATGTCCCAAGCTAGTACCTAGGAAGATAACAAGAGTTGTATATCAAACACGAACTGAAGTTGAATCATCTCCCAAGCTGGTACCTAGGACAATTCGTCCATAAGGGTCCAAGGCGTGAGGGGCCCAAAGCGATGGACTGCGAGCCGAGGAACGTGGGCCTGCAGATTGACATCTACCCATAGTCCCCATAGTAGTTCCTTTTTGGGGTTCATATTTAGATTTCTACAAGGTAATCCCCAAAAAGGAACCACTTTGGGGCCTATGAGCCAGAACCCCCAAGTACCCTTCAATAGAGCCCTTATAGTCTTTAATAGTGGGTATGTAAGGCATATTACAGGGTAGTTGGGGGTCTAGGTAGGGTTGGGGGTTTTGGCTCTCGGCGTTTGGGGGTTTCTAGTTTATAGGCTTCGGGGTTTATGTAGGGGCCCAGGGTTCTGCTTAGGAATTTAAGGGTTTAGGGTGCAGAGGTTGTGGGTTTAGGGCTTCGAGGTTTGGGGGGTTGGGGTGTAGATTGTTTCGGGTTTGGGGCGTCGCGGTTTGGGGTTTGTGGCTTCGGAGTTTGGTTTGGAGCCAGTTAAACTGTTTTGTAGATCAGGGACACCTGATGTCCCCGGCCCCGTCTTTCCGACATCCCTAGGACGAATACTTGTGTGTCTCAAAACTTTCGATATACTCCTACACCAATATCTTTCCACATGTCCACTGGTTGAGGGTCACCCGTGTGTGTGCGTGGCATAACAACTATTGTGCACTGCTTGGCGAAAGTCTTCTTCGGGGTGGTCGCCGCAAAAGGTCCGAAGCTGAGGAATGGAGAGAAAGCCCTACAAAGCCTCAGTGCTGAACCCAGCCACAATCAGAACTTCAGGAAGAGAGCCCATTAAGATGGATGCTACGTAGTAGGATAAGCAATTGCTGTACAGGGACCACTAGTCCGAAGGAACCTCGCAGGCAAGTAAAAACGCTATGTGAATCTACTTCGAGACTCATGTCGGAACCTGATTAAGAACCCCTGGGCCTATAACCCCAAAATAGTAGGATTCATAAAAGGAACCCTAACAAAGGCCCAAGGTTTCTTAATCAGGGTCCTACATGACTTCAGCGTTGTTCTCAGGATAGTTTGGCTTTGCTATGGGATGGCTGGGCCCTCAGCAAAAATCCTACATCCAAACTAGCTGTAGAGTAGAAGCCAGAAAGTTGAAATATCATTATCGTATCCCCTTTAAGGTAAGTTATAGGGGATCCTACCATTAATCCATATTCCAACTTTCTGGAGTTCCCTTTAGAGCATCGGAGAGATGAGAAGCCTGCTCCCGTGTAGAGCGCAATGCTGCCGAGTCACGGACGCTAGGGTGAATTTTCCGGCCTGGTGGTGGAAGGTGGTGTCTCGGGGTGCTAGCTTTGAGGCACTGCTGTTGCCAAGACTTCCAGCAAGTAGACTTGTAATTGATTACTTGCCCGGAAGGCTTCGAGGGCATCAACTTCGATTCCAGTGTTGTTGGAAGAAACAGCATTGCTCAGCAACCGGCACTCTGAATCCCAGGCCGTGAACCTTCGAACTTTCGAGCATCATGACCTCAAGAACCACCTACATGATCCTTAAACACTGAACCCGGGGGCAGGGCTCTAGACCTAGAAACGTGGTAGGCCTTGAGGAGCATTTGCATTAAAGCACTCCACTCTAAGAGTCCGCCCCAAACTTTTCATAATTAGGGCTGCAACAACACTGGAAAACAGAAACCCTCTTAAATCGATACCTAGCACTAAACAGGAAGAATTAGTTTGAACAGGCCAGAGAACTGGATTCGGCGAAACCCTCAAAGTACCCGAATCAAACTCTCAACCCAACTGTTACATAAGCCCAAGGGCCGGCACCCTCAACCGGTAATCCCCAAGCCGAAAATCCCGAAGACACTCTCTCTTGCGCCTCGCATCTCTGCAAGAAGTTCGAAGACTTTGGCCCAATTCCGTGCCTTTCGCGAGCCCCTACCCAGACTCCATAAAGGATCCAAAAGCTCCAAGCCCTGAAGACCCCAGCAAAGAAGTTGAACCGACAAAAAAATGCGTATGGCTTGTTGTAAACTGCATATTCACAATGTATATATATATATATATATATACGTATATAAACGTATATACATATGTATATGTGAAGGCATATAGGCATGTAGGTATACGTAGGTATATGTAGGTATATGCAGGTATATGTAGGTATATGTAGGTGTATGTAGGTATATGTAGGTATATGTAGGTATGTAGGTGTGCATGTATGTATGCCTGTGTGTATATTTATGTGTGTATATATATATACACATATACATATAGATTCGATATTAGGTTTAAGTTTATATTATCGTAGGATAGATTTTGGGGTAGATCCTCGAGGGATCTGTGTTTGGAGCTGGAGGCTTAAGGCCTTAAGGCAAACCATACCAACGACTTAGGGGTATATTTAAGGGTTTAGGGGTTTCGGGTTGAGGGGTTTAGGGTTTGAAGCATCTGACATACTTTCCAGCCTACGGACCGTAATCTTAACTCAGAAACTCAATACGGAACAGCTTGCCATATTGAAAAACAAACCGAAAGCAGTGTCTGTAACTGAATGAGTCAAGGGTGAAAAGCAGACACCGAAACTCACCTACGTAATGTGCAGAAAGAGAAACAGGGGTATGGCTGGAAGAGAAACAGTGTGTGTGTGTGAGTGTGTGCTACGATCTGTGGTCTCCAGGAGCAGAGATACAGCTCTTCCGTTTGGGGTTCAGGGGTTTAGGGTTTAGTTATTTCCTGTTAGTCCCTTCTGTGAAACCTGCGTGCAAAACGTTCAAGTGAAGCTGCTGCGCAAGACAACTGCGCCTTGTTGCAAGCCCAGATGGCGGCTGTATAGGTGACAACATCCGGATGGACCACCTGCCATGGCATTGATCATGTTTCGGCGGCGCTTCAACGCAACACCCACCGTGAACTAACCCAAAACTTAAACCCCTAAACCCCGATCCCTAAACCCTAAACCTCGATCCCTAGACCTTAAACCCTAAATGTCCCAATCCTTAAACCCTAAGCCGCAATCCCTAAACCCCAAACCCTAAACAGCGATATCCACCTTGGAGAGCATGGTGCCGAGAAGGTCCAGGCCGACCCGCCACTCATCGCCTTCCTGGAAGAGTCCATGTACCCAAAGTAGTCTCCGATAAGGGTTTCGGGTTTGGGGCGCCCAAAAACAGTATCCTTTAAGGGTTTAGGGTTTGGGGATCTGCAAAGTTTTTTCAGGGATCCATAGGAGAGTTTAAGGGTCCATGTACCCAAACCGTCTCAACGTTCACCTGAAAGTAGTCCCTATATAGGTACATACTATTTGCATACAAGGGACCCTTAGGGATAGCTGAAGGGCTTGGGGTTGGGAGGTTGGGCGTCTACTTACAACTTCTAAGATTCAACTTAGGGTTTCAGGGTGGGTTTTTCATTTTAGGGTTTGGGGCTTTAGAGTTGTGGTTTATAGGCTTTGGAGTTTCGCGGCTTAGGGTGTTTACATGTTGGGTTCTGGTGGCAGGGGGTTTTGGGTTTGGGGCTTTAAAGTTTTGGGTCTGGGGCTTTAGGGCTTGAGGGCTTTAGGGTTTTGGACTTTAGGGTTTAGGGGTGTGAGTTACGGGGTTCTGCCTTTAAGGCTTTCGGCGGTAAGGGGTTGGGCCAACACTCTACCCCCACATCTATCATCCTACATTCCGTGGGACCCTCTCTGCACAGCATGAATTTGGGGTTAGGCTTCACATCGTTCCATCTTTTAGCCTCCGAAACCTGCCCCTGAACCCCTAAACCCTAAACCCCAAAACCCCAAAACCCTAAACATCAAAACCCTAAACTCTCCCAACAAAAAGTCAGGGTCCGCACGCCTCGCAGGCAGTGATTGCAGCATTGTAGCTCACCTCTTCTCCAGGGCTCTACGTTCGGGCTTCCGAGTTTCGGGGTTTAGGGTTTAGGGTTAAGGTCTTGGGTTTAGGGCTTAGGGTTTGTGGTTTTGAGGGTCGAGGTCCAAGTTTTGAAGGAATGGACTAGTTTGAGCTTGATGCTCTTCTTGGCTTTCAGATACCATGTACCGAACTACTCACTAGCATTACCTAGAGTCTCCATTGTAGTTCCTTTTTTTTGGTTAGCCAGTTTTAGGGTTAGGACCCTATAATAGAGATGTTGGTTAACCAAACAAAGGAACTACAATGGAGACTATAGGTAATGCTCAGGGTCTGAAACTCTAGATCCACATCAGGCCAGGCACTCTGTCTAGTTAAACTCTACTCTGTCTGGTGCTTAGTCGGGAACGGGGGAATGGATCCCTTATAGTACTAGTAGTCCCTATAGAATCCCCAATAAAAGTCTGAATAATTCATTCCCCCATTCCCTACCAAGAACCAGACAGTATTGGTAAGCAAGATGGGAGGTTCCAACAATGGGGGGGGGGACCCTAATATAATACCCTAAACAGTAGGATCCTTGTTGTGAGGACTCCGTAAAATAAGGTACCTCTAATTTTCGGAAACTCCCAAGTGTATTTGAGGAAAGAAGCTCCCCAGGCTCTGAAACCCCAGATCTGAAGATGCAAAACCCAATCCTGAGTCATGA